CCTCACCATGACTGAGATCTAGTTCTAACTTTCTAGCTAGAATGTTAGTTAGTTAGTTTAGTTAGTTAGTTCTAGTTAGAATGTTGAGAAATAATCTAGTCAGCTCTAGTAATTTAGGACATAAGTTTTGGTTAACTGTTAGACCTGCTGGCTGTTTGGCTAACTGTTGAAATTGGACACATCGCAAAGGAAATGGAGATGGAGCTTTAACAACAGCTGCATTGACTGTTATTTCAATGAAATATCAAGTGCTTATTTTTCTTATACATGAAAGACAGGATCAAATATATAACTTTTGTGTGATATAATATATATAATAATATAATAATTTTTAATAAATCATGTTCAGATTATGGTGATAATGGATGTAAAGGTACTTCAACCGAATTAACAATCCAACCGTGTGTATGACGTGTCCCAGTAGCCAATCATAATATATGTATTTCTACCGGTGGCACATACTGGATGGCGGTTAGATGAGTACACTACTCTCACAAGCATCTCGAGTCTCTCGGTGATCCTGCCTCCACACCACACTCAGTCTGGACTCCCTTCCGGCCGACCGAACTATTTTCCTAATATCTCCTAATATAACTTTGATCGAACAAGCCTAAATTCATGATGCACTATAAACTTGATTTGAGACAGAAATTTTAGACAATTTATCTGCTTACGTGTAATTGCAAACTCTTATCAGTTACCATGTCTTTTATCTAATTTTTATCAGCAGATTTATAAATGATATTTTAATACAATTGATCAATGGTCCAACAGATCTAAATACTGGCGGCGAGTTCAACCATTAATGATAACAATGATTAACCAATCGGCTTCGAGCAAAGGCTTTTCAAAAGCCAATACCGGTTTGTTACATTTGTCATACTAAAAACTTGTTTTTTCATTTCATTGATGTCTCCACCGTAAAAAAACTTAAATTCACAATATTTTATTTTGCTAGTTGTTGCAGCAATTTGATGTCATTAATTTCACAATTTACAATGATGGTAATTTGTTTGAAAGATTCGTGATTACTTCAGTTCTGCAATCTGCACGATTATCTATAAAATTTATCGTAGCGGATCCTTCTTGATGTTCTTTAACGTACTGTTTGTTGAACAAAGTTAAGCTATTATTTAATCTGACTTACATATTCACAGTTATTCACCATGGATTTGTTTGTTATTAAATAGTTTTTCATAAATTTTTGGATTCGGATTAATTCTATGTATTGGATCCAAGTAATTGCGGATATAGTTCACTATGTGTTTACCCTGTTTGGGTGCCCATCATATTTTACAGATGGGGGCAATATTTTGAACGATTCTATTTTATATTCATTTATTGCTGTACTCTGTAAAATTTGAAAAGTATTTAATAAATAATTGTATTTAAGAACTGGCAACAAAATACAGTAGTAAAAAAAACTCTGTGGTTCACACATTGAAACATGTTAGTAGATGACTTAATTACCGCCAATTCTAGTAACGAGACTGTTAATATACATTATACAGGGAGGGGACCAAAAGTCAGTACCCATAAACGGATTAAACGTTTTTTTTTAAACGGATTAAACGTTAATTGGTCAAGAGAAGCCCTAACACTCCTGGCTTGACAATACAAGAATGAAATCATAACCTAGAAATCAGATACGAAAACCGTGAAGAAACAAATATCATAATTTAAGCTAAGTCTCTCGGGAAACGAAGTGCATCTATATTAACTAAGAATTTAGCAATCTCTTTTAAAAGCTTTGGTTGAGTGAATATGAGATCCATTCCCTCGAAGAGGTTGGTTTTAGCTTCAGGGCTAAGGCGGTCCCTGTTGTCTTGGTAGAGGGGGCAGGTTCTAAGCACATGAACCTCATCTTCAATTATGGGATCAAAGAATGGTAACTCTGCCATGTACTCCAGAGTGTTCTTGTCCTTAGTGGAACATGTAGGACAGATACGATTTAGGATATTGTTTCTTCTGACTTGTCCATGGCGTCCCGTTTCAATATTTAGGCGGTGAGAGCTAGTCCTTATTTGGGCTAGTCTTTTTGACTGGTTATATGGAAGATAGAGAGAGAGGTATTTTTCACAACCAAAACTTGATTTAATCGAATTGTAATATCCAAGTTTTCTGTTGAGCTGTCTCTCTTCATCCCATTGCGTTCTAAAGCAAGAACGGAGAACATCTCGTTTCTGAATGGGTGATAGTTGCCTTTCGTTCGTTTCTGCCAGAAATTGATTCTGCCAGAAATTGATTCATATGTTGGGTCTTAAACCACCTCTGTGTTTCATATTTAAGACCTGTAACTTTGCAGATGGTATACTGTAACTACTCATTCGAGGATTCCGTCACCAAAATTTGAGAATTCGATTTTCGGGGGCCACACCCAATCAACATTGAATTAATTATACTCGTGTTTGTGAACATGTTACAGACTTCTTTGTAACATATTGCCATAGGTCATTAAATCCGGAATATAATCTGAAAAGATGGTGCGAAATGGATTTAAAATGACGAAGTTATCAAGCAATTTGTTTATCTCGTTAGAAAAATCGATTGGGTAATCAATGATTACCCAATCACTAATCATGTGATAGTATGCTACGACACCGCAATTGGGCTCTCTGTACGATTCCCATAATGCAGATCTAGTTTCATCCCAATCACCTGATCACACGTAATGAACAAACTCGTTATGCTTTATATCTCGGTCATCTGAGAAGCTATAACTCTCATTTTTTTCAGGGTATGTAATTTGAATAGTCAAACACAATTCAATACAATTTGGCTAGATCTGATCATTTAATCTATCAAATAAATTCGAAAATGAATTACCTTCATTCGAAAAACATGAACACGAATATTCTTTAATTTGATGTATTCCTCGAATGAGTGGTGAAACTAGGTCCTACCAGAAAGAATTATCTCAATCGGGCACTCCGTGACTGAGCTATAAAGGCCAAATTTAAGTATGTTCACTAACTTTTGCCCCCCCCCCCCCCCCCCCCCTGTAATATGCAAGGATATTTACCCTACTGAGTTGGACATAGTAATAACAAATTATTAATTTGTCTACTACGTTCCTAGATTTAGATATTAATATTTTTAATACCCGTTTTTATACTAAATTATTTGAAAAAATATGTTACTTCAGTTTTAAAGTTGTTACTTTTCCTTTTGTAGGATTTTGTAGTGGGATTTTAAGTTTTCAGCTGTTCTTGCATGCTAGTTGCTACAGTACCTATATTCTAAATTATATTTTACAATTGAATGTGTCTAGTAACATAATACTTTATCATTATTTTTCATTTATCTGAGGTGTAGTATTGCCAGATCTCAGTTCCTTTTGCTACTTTGTATTGATGTTACAGAGTTTTATATAAACAGGAACAGATGTAACAGATTCAATATATTTTGCCACTTGCCATTGGGTGGCAAGTCCTATTTATCCCATCCTGATAGTTTTACAGACTCTCAAATAGTAGTATTGTTTTGATTACTAAAATAGATTTTATCTTTACTTTTAAATTTCAATCAGCCATTGGTTATAAAATTCAACTGTGGTTATAATGGATTTTGAGTCAAGTTCTATGGCCCCTACAATCTGCATGCACTGAATAAGGTACTAACAAGTAACCAATAACCATAGGTACCCAAAGAACTGATAAAAATTCTAAAATAATAAATGATATAAGAACCACAAAAAAGTTAAGCTAAGCCACAAAAATCCTATATCCATTAACATGAGTCATGACAACACCGTGTATGTAAACCTCAGTAGGGTGGTTCAGAAAACTGAAAGCTTTGAAGCTAAAGCGTTTGAATTTGGAGTTGGAGAGAGGCTGTGGGTCTAAATCTGTGTTGATAAACTTAAAGGTCGAGTCCTCGATGCATCCTTCCTTGACAAGGTCATAAGACAAGCTCCCTTCATCCTCAGTCTGACCGTCTGTTGCCTGCACGTTGACCACTACCAGAAAAAGATTTGGGTCTTTTGAATCCAACGAAACCTCCATATAGATATCATCGTTAATTAGAGGCATAAATTCAAACGGAAAGTTAACAAACTTTTCAGCAAAATTATCTTCTTTATAGAGATCTAGAAGGAACCGTAGCAAACCAGCACCCTCCACTCTTTCAACTACAGTTTCTCCAGCTACCTCCCAGGAGCCGTAGTCAGTCACTCCTATGCTGCTGTAGGAACACTCGAATCCTATTTTGAGATTTCTTCCTCTATGAATCCCGTTATTGTAATCAACTTTGTTTGGGATACCTGTCATCTGGTTTTTGTAAATGATGTGTGTGTTATTGAATGAGACCGTTGTACCGCATTTATCCAAGTCCGTTTTGATTTCTTGGGAGTCTCCCTCAAACTTGCAATCTTTGCCTTTAAGTCGTATTGTTTGAAAACTACCCTTATTTGCTAGGGACAACTTCATTGCGTTACCACCACAGTCCACTGTTGCGACTGAAGACAACAAAATGTAAGTCATCACTTACAGAAGGAAGAAGGAAGAAATCAGTTTTTAACTCGAGTGATTTCTAGAAAGAGATAGCGTTCAAATCCTGTCTGTTCTCTGAACTCTGATTCGTAAGACATATTGGAACAGTCTGTATTGGATCAGTCTGTTTGTCCAAATTTATTTAATTGTGCAGAGATACGCCTAGCATTGACATATCAATCCCGGATAATATGATTTCAATACTTGACGGGTGATACTCGTAAAATATTTGTTCCAAGACCGTCGACGAGTCCAACTCGGCGCGTGTCTTGGTAGGTTATAAACCTACAATACCATACCAGTTTAGATTTAGTACCGACGGTAATTCTTGGTAATATGATTATTAGACAATTGAAACACGGTTAACGAACAATGAACATGTAAAGTTTACTTAACACATATTTGATGCTCGGTTAAAGAAGGATATTTATGGCGCCAGATTTATAGCTCCAGTATGAAAAAGTGAAAAAGAAACTTGTAAGCGAAAGAGAAACTTGTAAGAATTCTTACTGTATTGACAGGCGTCTTGAGAAGTAGATCCGGCAGCAGAGATCTTCCTATCGGGACAATCAGTACACAAAGTAGCTTCAGGACCACTGTAGGTGTTCTCTCTACATTGACGACATCCGTATGTAGTCATGTAGTTTCCAGCCGTGCATGGAGCTGCAAAATTTTGTTTTGATGCTTCTGGCTTCTATTAAACATAAAACATATCACAATGCTGGCAAGCATTACCGTTGCCATTATATTCACAATACTATTTACCCCCTATACTATTATATCCCCTTTATTGTTTTCCAGGCATTAAGACTCATCGAAAGTAGTTCAGCAGGTATATTTAAATTCAAAACATTCTAATTCAATGTTAAAGATGACAGGAATAAAAAATAGTTATGTGGAGGTTTTTAAGAAATTTGCGCAAAATACGCGCCAGCATGTTATACGAAATTAGGTAAAAAACCCAGATCGCCATATTCAGGTGCCTTAAAATCACAATGATGGCAAGCATTACCGTTGCCATTATATTCACAATACTATTGACCCCCTATACTGTTATATCCCCTTTATTGTTTTCCAGGCATTAAGACTCATCGAAAGTAGTTCAGCAGGTATATTTAAGTTCAAAACATTCTAATTCAATGTTAAAGATGACAGGAATAAAATATAGTTATGTGGAGGTTTTTTGAGAAATTTGCGCAAAATACGCGCCAGCATGTTTGATGTTATACGAAATTAGGTAAAAACCCCAAAATCGCCATATTCAGGTGCCTTAAAAACCATGTTAAAATTGAGTTAGAGATCTGAAACTTTGCAGGGCGTCTAGACCTTGTCCAAATCGGCTGTAAAAAATGTTATGTTTCAGGAGTATCGGGAAGTGGGTTTTCTGGAACCCTTGTTTTACAACAGATTGTCGTGAAGTAAATCGCTCTTTCTAAATCGCTCGCCCAAATTTTAAGAAATTCTTGTGAAAAGGCCCTTTGGTTGTGAAATTAATCTTAATCGGTGTATTTTTGGACGCTGATTCCGAATCACCCCCGGCCATGACGTAGGGTAAAAATGCTTCGGCCCTGGAGAGTTATGGGCAAGGGCTAGGATAGCTTATGAATAGTTTCGGGGTTAAGTTACAGTTAGGCTAATTTAAAGTCTATCTAAAACTATTTTGTTCGTCTGCAAAACTGTAAAAACCAACGTCACGTGATAATTTTTGGGCGAGCGGATAAGTAAAACTAAAACTAAAAACCGTACTTTGTACCAAAATTTAAAAACTTATTTTCTTTTCTATTTTGTTAATATAAAGACGATAAGATCGCGCGATACCAGATACGTGAGCGATTGGCCTTACTATCAATTATTTAACGGGTGATACTTGTAGGTTTACAACCTAGAAGTAGGTCGCCCAAAAATTATCACGTGACTTTGGTTTTTATGGTTTTGCACCCGAACAAAACGGTTTTAGATAAACCCTTATATTTATAATCCCAACCCTAACCCTAACCCTAACCATAACCCCAAAGCCATTTATAACCACAACCCTATATAACCGTAACCCGAGCCCTAAACAATCAAATTCGTGTTTTACTAGCCTGTCACGGGATTGTAGGTTTATAACCTACCAGGACGCGCGCCGAGTTGGACTCGTCGACGGTCCAATATATGGAACAGATATTTTACGAGTATCACCCGTTAATCACGTGACCAAAACAGTTGTTTGCCCATAACTCTCCAGGGAAGAATTTTTACCCTACGTCATAGCAATACGCCAATGGGGGATGATTCGGAATCACCGTCCATAAATACACCCAATAATATTACTATCAGTATCATATATATCATTTATATCATTTTAAACTAATTACAACACTACAAATCTTTGATTCACGATGTCAATCCTTCGCAGCTCGGTGAGGCACAGTGGTGCATCTTGCCGATCTACCGATGTGGTTGCGAGAAGCATTATTTGATGCGCGCGCGACCCAGTAGTGCATTGCGCTACAATACAAATCTATTACATTTATTGATAGGCGGTGCACGATAAAAATAAACTTGCTCGGATTTTCAAAATTTTTGTACCATCGTTTTCTAGAGACTGTGAGAATTTTCACAGTACCAAATTTATCATACCTTTTTGGAATGATCAGTGAGTTTCGCCTAGGTGCCATATTTGATGGTGCGCGGCTTTTGGAGCAAAATTAGGTGTAAAATGTAAAAGTCGCGTAATTTGACGAAATTCATTGATTTTTGTCGTATTATTCTGTCATATCTTCGGTTCCTGAACATGAATCATGCTGAAAATTTGTCAGAACCTTCCAATCATACTTAACTACCGAACCTAATTTAGTTGGGAGAGATTGGCCTTGATTTTTTTTTTTTTTTTTTGAAACTTTTACAAAATAGCAAGTATACAAATGTACAGCAATTCGAACAAACATATAAAATGGGCCGAAATGTATAAATGCTATAAAGCGTGGGTCAGTGAAACAAGTACAGAGGACAACTTTCAGAACAAAAGTTTTTTGGCCGCCCAAAGTCTCAATAACATCACCTCCACCTAGTAATTATGAAATGTGAAAAGTGTGAAACAATCAAATAATAATAAATCAGGGTGAGAATCCCTGCCACGTTTTTGGTCAGCTTCGCCGGGGCTCATGTCTTTCCTCGAGGGAGCATTAGTGTCTACAGAAAAACTGACAAATCCTAGCGAAGTCCAATCCGAACCACATCTTCCATCAGAGGTGGTGCGGGGTCAGCTGGTTACTGAACGGATTGGCCTGGAGAAAAGCATAGTCCTGTTATTCTAAAGTTAACCATAGAGGGGGTCAGGCGCTGTTCGCTCACGGCTGGTTCTTGGAGCCAACACCCTCGGCCCCACAGAAGTGGGAGCACTGTCGGTGGTGGCACACCCAGATAACGGACAGTGTCTCTCCTTCTTTCTTCTTGGACTTGCATTGTTGCTGGTGAGTCAGCTGGCAACAGTGTACCATACTTTCATATTCATGTTTTCTTCCCCACTTCTCCTACACCTCACTTTTACTCACTCATTCACTCACATGCCGCCTTAGGGCCGCTACCAGTTAGAGGGGATCTAACAATCAGACAAACTGCCAGCCTTAAGGCCGCTACCAGTTAGAGGGGATCTAACAATCAGACAAACTGCCAGCTATTGGAGATATAGCACTTAGATTATTACCAGCAAACGTAAAATTAGCAATAATTACGTGAACAAAGAAATTGCCAAATTGCGACAAAAAAAGGGTCTACTCAAAATTCAAATATCGCATGTAAACTCGTGAATCAGCACTTTAGTATAGCGCGGAAATTGAGCCGCGCAAAGACAAAGATATAACACAAAAACAACAAAGATATGGGAGAATTACATCGGAGGCTCAGGCATGCCTGGTAGGTTCCTGTCAGCCCACCAGAATGACAGGGGGCAGCCTGTTCTATCGAGTACCCGGGAGAACATCCAGGCATGGGTGGTGTTCTCCCGTGAACGAGCATTATGACAGTTTCCCTTACGGGAAACGTCGCTCACCAGGCTTTATCCTCTGGAGGGGCGGGATCACTAGCCCATGCCAAGTGACCCAAACCTACTGACACCTACAACCAGAGGAACCCCAATAGACGTTAGTCACTAACTGACGGACGTAGCCTCCCAATAGGGAGGTAAAGTGGGTGCCCCAACATTAAAAAAAAAAAAATCAAATAATAATGTATGTATATAATATAATTGCCTCTCAAATACAGATAACGTCCGTTAACTCTTAAAATACCCCTACAAGTGCATATTATACTGATCGGTGGTGTCCGAGAAACATGAATTACGTCATCATGGTGTCTTCTTAACCCGGCTACAGACCTTTCCGTTACGGATGTAGTGGTCGAGATGAGTCTGTTCAGCCCTCTTCTTCTTCAGGTCAGTTACCACGTTCTTCCTTGCTGCACGCTCTTCACTGGATCTATCAGGACAGATCCATACATTTTTGTGTGCATCAGCCATCTTCAGTCTCCCTGTTTTCATCAGAATCTGATGAACTGCTGTTGAGCTTGGGACGGTGATCTTGACTGGTCGGATAGCCGTACCTGGCCTCTTCCAGCCGACTCTAGTCGCTTCAAAATGAGGTTTCTCCCCGATCTCCTCCAATAGTGCGGTAACCAGAGCTGGTAGCTGTTCTTCATCCTCTTCTTTCAGACCAAACACTATCAGATTCTTGCTCCTGTCCTCCTCTGCAGCCACACTCTTCATTACATTCTTCAGAATTTTACTGTTGCAGACTGCGCCACTTGTGCTGTTCTTTTGTACAGCTGCACTGTAGCTCTTAATCCCTGTCTCCACCGTTGTTTGTACTGTCTCTTCAACTGACGTCTTAAACAACTGTAGTTGTTCGTCCTTCTGCACTAGCAACTGGTCCTGCAACCTGACCATCTTTTCCTTGTCTGCTAGTGCTTCCGTCTTGAGGCACTCAACGATTTCCATCATAGCGCTCATCTGACTACTCTGCCGTCGTACGAGGTCTGCTGCTTGCATAACCCAGTTTGCCATATACCTTTTATAGATAGACGGAGACATGAGTATTTCCTGGTCCATATTTCCACGAATTTCGAAGTTTTCTAATTTCAGTTCTCTTGCCATCGAAGTGAACCATCTTTCAGCACAGCCCTCTACATCTTCCTTTTCTTCGTAGTTGAAATCCTTGATTTTCTTCTGAGATCGGGTCAAATTCAGATCATCCTCCATGGTGTACTCGTATAATAATGTACAATTACACACGCAAAGGCTAACTACGCGGTGGCAGCAAACTGAACTTATCGCTAAGTTACAAAAGATAAGGGAGCTCGATAATTGCAACGTAAGCTACACACACTACACACACTACGATTAAGGGGTCTAAAAATGACAAAATAGGCATAAATTCGTTGATAACTCAAATTCTGAGCATCGAAATTGCTCAAACTAAATTAGGTTCAGTAGAACATAAGTGTTTACGTAAGCTGACCAAATTTCAACAAAATTGTTATATGGGAAGTATCATAACTTTTCGATTGTTTCCAAAATAATGTGCTGGCCGAAATAAGAGCTAAAAACCATTCAATGGTCAGCGCGCGCGTTTTATTGTCGATGGCGCACTGCCTAATATTGAGAAAATTATGTAATGTAACGTGAT